AGAGACTGAGGAATCAAGGTGACAGAGAACAGGTGAACGATGAAATGACAGGGACTATCATGATTCCTGATTAGAAAAATTATGAGATTGAAGGAAATTCGTCCATCGTATTTCTCATTCGCAGAAAGATTACCGTTCTCTGAATGCAGTGAACTTTGCTGAATGAAGGCGAATGAATCGCTGATACCGGCACTTCACGAGTCAAATTATCGCAACTGATTGCTCGCTGAGTATCTTCATTGAAATTGATGAAAATGTGGAAAATTCATGCATTGCGCTATGAATCAACGATTATAAACCGAAACATTCTTAAAGGTGATCACGAAATGATCAATGTGATCAAATGAAATACGACATATTAACGGTTGAATGTCGCTTTTTCATCCTCTCCCTAGGTAATACATTGTACTTTACGATGTGAAACATTGGAGTGGAGCACGTCAAATGATTTTTCCATATTCTATGAACCGAACAGTACATATTTCATACATTTTATATTGCTGATACTCACGATATATTTCTTATGACACATCAAAAAGCAGATAAATGGCTAGACTAAACATGTATAGATTCATTCATTTATTATGAGGTTGAATTCAAACTATGAACATAATTCACTGAAATGAAAGAAAAAACTTAGAATGAATTGATATGCTGCGTTCCGGCAAGAACTATTTAAACATCTGAACAAATGAGCTGGTGTGTTATTAACACCTCTACGCACATTCACATTCTTCTATTCGAAACATCGTTCCTCTCCATCTTCTCCATTCAATGCAGCATGGAGATCGTATGAAATAGTTTTCGAATTTAAACGAATTCTGTCATGATCGATGCGGACAATTGTTATTAGATTGTTGCTTTAAGGAACACTTCATTTATTATTTCTTTGCTTTTGGCTGTAAAGTTTTATTTGTTGAGGAAAACAACTGCAAAAAATGAGAGCATGCTCAATGAATGCGGCGTTGAAGTTGCAATTCATTGAAACCATTTGCGATTGCCAACAAAGAACATCATGAGCATATTCGCGTCACACTAGAATCTTTTCAGTTCGCGTGCTTCAGCTAATTTGACCAACTTCAGATCATTTTGAACATTTATCGTTTAAAACAGCGATAAGCTGCGCTTAATTGCTCGATGGTTCATTATCCGTTCTGTTTTATGGGCCATCAGGGGCGCATGATGAAGAATGTGCATGATGGTTAAGGCACTTCATTGTGATCACGCGATATGTTCAAGTGATGTGCATTTTTCGGATTCCTTGTTTGGAAGATATATGAAAAACATCAATCAAAATTAATTTGNGAATATGTTCGAAACAGACATATGAGCTAGCTTTGGTCCCAGAGGATGCAAAATCAAATACTATACTGACAATATGCAAGCAAATATTTCAATACGAACATGTGTTCAATCAAAGATTAGCGCAGCAATATTGTGATGTTTGGAAATACAGAATTCAATCTTAATAAACTGCCGCAATGAATTTAATCATCACCACACGAAATTTGATAGTCTTCGAGGACCATTTTATTTGTTTTATCTTTGATTGCTTCTCATTAGCAGTGAATCAGTGAGAAAAAAATAAAGTATTGCCGCGGAAGGATCAACGGGCCGTTAATGTGAGAAACCTCAAAATTTCTCTGTGACCATTAAATTTATCACATTGCAGCAGTTTTCGGACGCAATCACTTCACTGGTCTTCAAAAAGAGTAGATTTTAGCACTCAAAATCTTTCAAATGATTTCATAGCACCAAGAATTTCATCATGACGAGATTGCAGTAACACAAATGTTTTATGAAAACTGCTTTCGTAATTTCGATAGAATTTTATGGTACTAGGCAAGTGTCTCTTTCGATGCACGCATGCAAATTACATGTGACAGAAAGAAAATCAAATTAATTGATCTCGATAATTCATTTCCGGTGCATCTCTCCACTCGTCGATGGATCATGCTCCACGGCTGTAATCAATTCAAATGATGACTTCTTCACTCATTAATTGCTATCTCAACAACAAAAAAAGATTTCTTTTGCAACGACTGACTAATTGTTAGCGTTGCTGTCAGGGTCAGCGCTTTAGATTTAGTGTTCGGCGGAACTGCATTCAATTTACCAGATCCGTTTAGCAGTTTTTATTAATGTAAGGAAGCGAACGCAATGCATCATGCAGCCAGCCAGCACTGCCCTGCTCCCTCCCCCTCCCCTTCACACTACAAAATCCACTCAACTCAGAAATTATCTCGCCTCCGGCCATCATCTCGAAATGCTCCTCCCATCTCCGTTCGCGTTCATTTCTCATTCCAATACAAACAACACAACTCATTTTCAAACAACCAATAACCGAATTTATTGCAATATAAGTGGTCAACACATATGCCCATCTACTATACATACTCTGCAACTATTTTTTTTTCAATTCCTTATCATTTATTTATTCATCAATGCATTTTCTCTGCGCACACTTTATTGTCCCCATTTAAAAACACATATGATGAACTGTTGTGATTGTTTAAGAGTAGTTTTGAAGTGGAGGTACACATACATTCGGGGCATTGCGAATTCCTTAGCTACATTTTCCGAGATGATCAAGTGGTACGTTCCATCGTACCTACCTACCTATTCGTTAAGCATAGACGAAGCTTTGATTTTTTTAGGCATTACGCGAGAGATGTTTCAGTTGTGTCATCTCCATTCACGGTATGTATCTGTGTGAATGAGCTTGATAATTTGTAGTTTCACGAGTATCGTGCGGCATTATGTCTACTTGTTTCCATAGTGTTGTCGAAGACAGCCATATCGAAGAAGCATTTTGAGTTATGAACTGCGCTATGTTCAATAGCATAATATTAACTGTTTCTGGATGTTTCTGACTCATTTTGTACTGATGACTGATTGATTCAACAACACTTCGATTCAGTGCTAATGGAGATCCACAACAATGAGGACGAGGTAATATTTGCAAATTCAGATCGTAAAACTGCATTCATCCTGAAACTTGGTTCATTAATTCAAATTCATCACATTCAACGATTTTTGAATTGGATTCATTTGATTCCGATTTCTTATAATCCAAAATTCATGATGTTGTATGCATGAATGTATAGGCTCACGTTAAAAAGTTGATCGCTGAGAACAATAGTCAGCAAAATGAGCACGGCGATAATTTTTTTATCATGATTTGCTCATTCGTTTGGTCATCAGATTGAACTGAATGGTAATTTTTGTTCGAAGATCTCCCAGAAATCGTATCCTGGAGTTTCTGAGGAAATTTTAACGACATCATGAGGATATACCAGGAAGCACTCCGAAGATCTTCATTTGAACAAATGTTTTTGCTCACGCCTTATTGAGGATTACTCTTTGTAAGTTTTTGAAACACTGAATTATCTCTTAAATAAAACTTCCGACTGCCTGGTACGAGCATGGCTGTTGAGCAACCTTGTGCTGCTTCTGCAATATCTCAAGTTCCGTTTCCGAGGAAGTTACTCAAAAATAAAAATTTAAATCTCTCCCAAGTGAATTCAAATATGATTTACTTAATTGACTAGTAGCTGAACGCCTTTTCTACTGACGACTGCGTTGAACGTTTCCGATTGACTAGTTCAACAAGCTTTTGAAAGTGAAATTCGCGGAGATTCTCCTCTCAAAAGCTTCAAAAAAAAAACTCATCACTCACATCCCGTAACATGCTCTAATTCTTTGCGAATGAACGATGTGTCTGAAAAGTGTTGAACACGGCTCGGTGAACAATGAAAATTACTTTATAGACTTTGTTTGAATAAATTGAAAATTCAATTTTCGCTAATCAACTACATGACACAATGTTAGAAACACATCTTTGTTAGCAGTGTTGGATACTCATTAGCAGTGTTGCTTTTGGTTGAGTGTTCTCGCAATGTGATACTTTCAATGACGAAATTTTCTTCATTTGTAAACGAATTTATAAACAATTGAGTGAATCGTATTTCACTCATTGATGTCTTAGCGAAAAGAAAGCTCTCAGTTTGCGTTTGTTCTGCGATTCGTTTGCTGCTGCCTTTAAACAATCACTTCCAGTAAGATTTTCGCTTATCGTTCACGTTCGGGTGATCATTTCGCATGGCGACTTGATTAAGTTGTTGGGTGAAATTGATCGGACGCTTCAACTGGGATAGGAGGCGATTTGTCCTTTCTTCTATCAGTAAGGTTTTAGCAGAAGAGAACAAATCTTCTCCTGATTGCACGGGAAATTACATTAGGAAGCAGACGAAAAATATTTCTAAATAAAAGTTCCATTCACATCCGATTGTGTTCATTCTAGTGCAATGTGATTGTTCAAAATCAGCTAATGCATGGAAAAATAAATCAAATTGATGCATATTGTAATCACTGACTAAGTACAATGCAGATTCTCTTAACCAACAACATTCATTTTTGATCAGGAGGCTTACAATCAGTAACATTAGTAGGTGATTATCCGAATAGATAATTAGATAAGAACCAAATCTTAATCCAGTTCAGGTTCGAGAACTACAATGATAGTGATAGACCACTAGGTTTAGACAAAAGCTTTGCTTCACGAGTGGGACTCCAAAAGTTTTGCTTTAAACCGAATGGCCTATCAGTATGACTGTGTTATCAAGCCTGAGGCATAATAATTTGTCGTGCATCTAGTTGTTACCTTATGATCAGATCGCTACATTGCAACGTCATCTCATCACTTCACTTCCGCATTACGTGTGCCGAAGAACTGATTACAAAACACAGCACAGTCCTTCAGTAGAGGTCGCACAGCCTTTGCGATAGCTCAAGATTACCTCAAGAGTTCGAGACCCATTCTTTGGAGGAAATTTCGCTGGGAACCGAATGGTGTATCACTATTATAGATCAATAGAGTTGATCTAGTCGAACACAGCATTCACATAGTGAGAGAACAGTTACCACAATGAAAACTTTAAGTTACCACAATTACCACGGATTCATTACAAAACTTTCAATTGCAGGGTTTTGAGGCGCCGATGCCAACATGGAAAAAGTACGCTCGAATAATATTACCACACATCGGTCTGATATTGTTGTCCGTAGTGTACATAATCGGCGGTGCGTTCGCGTTCTATCATTTCGAACGACCACATGAAATAGCGATTCGTAAAGCGAATTTAGACGATATCAACGCGCATCGCAAACTCATGCTCAAACACATGTGGTCCATTATCAACGACAATACAACTTCGGATGGTTGAGTGATCAGTTCTGCTGTTATCCAGAGCGCATTTGAGTGGTTTTATCGATGAGTGGTTCTGCATTAACATTTCCAGAGAACGATTCACGTAGGCGTGAAGTCAAACACCCTATGGGGATTGATGTACCCTCGATATTTTTGAAACACTTTCTGAACAGTGACAGTTTTTTGGTGATAAATCATGCATCAACAGCGGAAACAAACATGCACAAGATCATTAACTAAATTTTGTCAGCTGATGGCAAAAAATCTGCTTATGAACAGGAACCAAGAGGATTCCGCATTACATCGGATGAATGCCAGTGTATTTGACTAGGCCGACATTTCTAGTTGGTATCTTCCGATAAACTTTCCCGCAAACAATGAGTGCTTACTGAGCAGTTGATGAGTTCTGAATATTTGTGAATGCTCTCTGCATTAAGTTTGTTGTTGTGTGATGATTGAGTGATTTATAGAAGAAATGGAACGCTTGGCATTGCAGCATATGGACAATGTGACAAGACTTTTGTTCGAGGCATTTGATACGCATTATATTAATGCAGATCATTTGAAAGAGAAGGATCCTGACGATGAGCATAGCTGGACTTTTGTGACAGCTGTTTTCTTCACTGCCACTCTACTCACCACTATCGGTTAGATCTCAAACTTGACGTTTGAGACATTCCGCATCTTGTGGCTAAATCAAAAATGCCAAATCCCCTGCCGAGAATATCACTGTAGCAGCAAGAAGACAGTAATAAACATTGACCATCACTTGGGAATATCGCATTTGTTCTTGAAATTCATCTGTAGTTTCGCACCAGTTAACCACATAAGTATCAAACGATTTCCTCATTGTCAGATTCGCGCTGGAAGTTTTAGCAAATGTTCAGAACAAAAAACTCATAATGAACTGTGCGTTTTGAAAAAAAAAAGTTCTCTCTTGTAATATTTCTTGTCTATTGAATGTGATATTCTTGACGGGTCTGGTGAGTGAATTGAGTTCGCTCGAGGGATCCAACAAAGACATTAAGGTTACGGCAACTTGGTGCCAATGACGTTCCAAGGCCGTATGTTCTGCATATCGTATGCTCTATTCGGTGTTCCACTCATTCTCATTACTGTAGCTGATATCGGTAAATTCCTTAGCGAGAATATTGTATGGCTTTATACGAGGTTGGTTTCTGTATGATTCAGTTGATTACATTCATCACAATCAATCGTTTTGACAGTTCATTTTATTGGTGATGTCAAAAGTGTTCTGAAAATCTGGAATTTTGAATGCTCTCTTCGGATGTTCTGGAAGTGATTCAACAATTGGGGAAGGCTGGGTGAATTAATTATTGCAAACATATGCATTCAAATATGCATTCTTAATCGCCCCTTATTCTTTATTATTATCGTTGTCATAAATGCTGCTACCTTTTCCAGCTTATTGCAGTTTTAGGAGCTGCACTTTAAGAACTGTTTTTTTTTTTTGCAGGTACGTCCATGCCAAAAAACAGTGTGTCGAAAAAGCAACCGCGAGTACGTCGATGAGTACTGACGAAAATACTGCTCGAGTTAAAGATCAGCTGATACAAGTACAGCATCGTTTCTTCTGACCGATTGATTCTTCATTGAAATTGCCCAGAACTTTAGAGGCGTCATCTCTGATATTTGCACTTGATAATGCTGATTTGGATCGGTAGTAAGCAACTGAAAATTTAGTGAATGA